TACTTATGCTTTTTTATAATATAAATCCACTTTTCTCTTTGTACTTCGAAGTTGGAAACGAATAAAACTTAAATTGACAATTTTTTGTTGTATTTTTACAATTTATAACACATCATTTCCTAAATCCCATTTTCTTCAATGACAGAAGGTGTAAATAAACAAAACGAATATGAAATATGACAATTGATAATATGAATTTATGAAATCTATAATCTATGAAATGTACAGTAAGAAATGCAAGATTTCTCCACTACTCGCGCACGATCGTTTCTCGTATCCCCTCCAAGTACTTGCACGTCGCCAATAAATGCTATCAGACAAATTCCTCACTATCTCCGGACAATTGTCTTCGAATGCCGACATAACAACCTCTTAAAATTGTTCGGCGGCAATGTCTGGTCCAATGTATGTCTTATCGTTCCTTTAACCTTGCCTAAACTATATTCTGTTTCTACGAGATATGCTCCCCAATATGTTTAACGATGTTTACATGCCGTTTTTAACAGTTCTTGCCACGTGAGAGCCGTGGCAAGTTAGCTAAGTTGAATTTTTTCCCACCGTTAGTATGTTTAAATCATATTCCATAAAGAACTGTAGAAATGACTCACCTTTTTTATTGGTGTTTGTACTCCACTAATTAAGATGATGGGCGTTCACATCACAGCCAATTATCAGTTGTAGTCCATTTATTCTTCAATCTCTCATTAGCTGTTCCATCCCCCTTAGTGATGGTTGTTCGGGATTATCATATGGAAGTATGCTGTTCCTAGAATTGTCTCCTTCATATTTCCTCCCTCTGTGCATCTTCCTCTTTACTGTCTTTAAATCTATAGAACAGAAATTTATCAACAGCAGTATTTTGAATGTTGTTTGACTATTATACAGGTCCTCGGGAATTTAGCAGATTGCCCTTATATAATATAATAAGCTCTTCACCAATGCCCGATAGACCTATTATTTGGCCTTTATAAACCCAGTATTCTTGTAACGAAGATACATTGAACCTTCTCATAGTAACAGCTAGTACTGTCAAAGCTGCTTTAGGTTAAACACAGACAGAGCGCCGCGGCGGCGTTGAAAGCGGTCTCTCGTGTATGGTACTTATGTTGTGCAACACAGACAAGCCGTCGTTCGTCAGCTCGCCGCGTCGGCCGCCGCGCGACCTATGCTGAGTATCATGCGCCGTCGGCGGTTTTATGACTTCCGACGGCACATCAGTAATGGATATCTCGTGCTTCAACACAGACATGTGACTGTTTCGCAGCGGTTTTATTTGGTTATTTTTGTGAGTGTTTGCCAAATTTTGTATATATTATGGAAGCTGTTTGTAGACGTCGATAAATTTATTACCGAAATTCACACACTATCAGCAATTTGGGATATTCGCTCAGAGAATTATTCGAGTAAAATAAAGAAAAAAACAAACTTGGGAAGAGGTTACCCACAGTTTTATTTCGAAAGATGCTTTTCTGGGCCATCTTTAAATTCGTTAACTAACGTGTAAAACGTTTCTTTATTTTTTCATTCATTTACTATAGAATGTATCCAATACCTGCGTTTATTCTTCTTCTTTGATTTAATATGAAGTAAACTGGCACTTATTAGGAAAAAGGAAAAACAAATCGTCGCCACTTTCACTAGATGATTCTAGAGACATCATTATACCATTCTACGTTCAAAATTCGACTAAATTTGACAACACCGAATACAATGGCAAAACTACTGCCGCTGTTAAACGGCCTCACGTGTTTTAAGCCGCGCGGAGCCGACGAGGCGTCTGTGCAAACCGCCCTGTCTGTGTTTAACCTTACTGTGCTGGAGGTTCGTCTGCAGGACACTGATTGGAGCCATCGAGTCTCTGAAGGTTTTGGACAATACTTTCTAAATTTGTAATACATCTTAAATCGAGCAGTCCTCAATGCATTGTCGAAGAGACCTCGTCGATTGTGTAGCATCGATTTGTACGTCCTCCCCGATCTCTCGGATTTTTCAACAACCATCTCCACTCATAAGGTCTTAATTTTGTTTACCTATTCGGATCCTGATAATCGCTTTATCGGTCACTTTCTCTAGAGAAGTGGGGTGTCTAAGTATATTATTGGGATCAACTACAGTCAAGTCCCACAGTGCTCCCTCCCACAGATCTCCATAGCCCTCACCACATGAACAGTCCATGTTTTTGTATATTCATTAGTACAGTTTACAAACAGATCTCTGTGCTAAACGTTGTTTTCAGCAAGTGTAGGAGTTGATGTATACTACAGACGAAATGTCGCACGGTAGTGCGCACTTACCGTGGTAAGGCTATAATGTCTTAGAATTTTCCAGCCATCTGGAGCAAAGCTTAAGGCAGCACTTTTCCCCTGTATCATGCATCCCATAGCATAGGCATAGGCAATATCAGCAGTATGTTAACGCGTGTGGGTCTCGTGAGGCATGTAATGCCTTACATACTTCTGCGCTACATAATGCTTTTTTGAAAGATTCATTTTGCAAATATGTCTACACTTCAATAATACTTTATTTATAACTGTGTGCCAGTACTAAGTACGTTCCATCAATTTTTATATTTACTTTCAAACCCTCTTATAACAGCGAAGAAACGTAAATTATTATTGAAAAGAACACGTGTCTGGTCCATAAATAGATTAATTCAATATTAAAAAAACATTTTATTACGATAATATGTACTAAATGATTTGAAACAGTGATATATTCCCCTTAATAATAAATATAGATTAGGTTATCTAAAACTTTTTAATATATGCCAGTGATAACACAACATACAAGACCAGAACGAAAAGTTATTTATTATAGGGCACAAATAGTATAAAGCAAAATATATATCAAGACTATCGGTAATATGTTGAAACTTTCAAAAATTTTTAATTTCGCTAAACTTTTAACTTTATTAAAAAAGCTTTACTACTTTGTAAACTTTTCATATTTTATGTTCTATAATAGTCAACAGCATATTGATTGGTTGAATATTTTATTTATTAATTGCGATACTTGCGTTTATTTAGACTTTTACTTAACTGTTGTCGCATATGTTCAAGTATTTGAAATTGGGGCAGTGGTTAAACTCATCTCTGTTCAGAAACACATTTCTGCGCGGCTGTCTTTTACTGCAGTAGTTTTCCCAGGGCAGTTGTCATCATCATAAATAAGTTGTTGAAGTAGTCTGTTAAATAATGTGCCGCCTGACTTAACTCTAATTTCTCATCACAATTTCGAGGCAAGGTTGAAAAGTATTTCAGAAAGGATTTCCCCTTTTCTCACTTTCATCTTAGTTCAGAAAAGTACCGACATCCATTCACCTTTGTCCAAATGAGGTATTGAAGTAGTCTGATAAAGAACGTACCATATGGGTTACCCCAATCTTGTCTAGTGAGATTTTCCAGTGCAAGTTTGAAACATATGACAGAAAGAAATGCTAGGATCCCTTATTGTTTCAATTCAGCTTAATTTGGAAAGGTTCTGACATTCATAAACCTACTTTAAAGATTGACCTAAATACAATAAAATATACAAGTAAAAAAAGATTACAAGAATTTATTTTCTTTCTACAAAGGATAAACATCGTCATTTCTGACTTCAGTTACATTAATGAAGTTGTGTAGCTCTCTTGTGACTGTTTTAACCAGGTTTTTGAACATTGCTTTTAGTTTGTACTTTACAAATAAGAGATAAAATACGAGTTTAGAATGAACAAAATAACTTTATTACAAAAAAAAATATTTTGGTAATTTAACTAATTTGAAATAAACCTTTTAAACTTGAATTATCCTCAATTTGCTGGTAATATAAGGGTTTCCCTTCGTTTATAGGTAAAAATCTTTTTTTTTATTGATTAACATTCTAAATACCTTCTTCTTCTTCAAGTGCTATCGCCTCTACGAAAGTTGGCTATTGTCACGGCATTTTTTAACCCTCCAAGCTACTGCTCAGAACAGTTGGATAGATTCCAACTGTTCTAGAACCATTCTCTTAGGTTGTAAACCAAGACAATCTTCTCCCTGTACAGCGTTTTTTTCCTGAATCTGCCCTTGCATATCAACTGCAAAAAATTGGTATTTAATCTTCGCATAAATGCTGTCGCTTTTTGTTCTTTCGCCCTTTGTATCACTTACTGGTTAGTCACTTTATCATTCCAGAATATTTTCGAGATGCTTAGATATGCCCACAACTCAAAAATCTCAAGCTTGTTCATGTATTGTTTATTTATTATTCACGGCTCTAGACCATGCAGTAACCATCAGTATTTCAGTTCCAAATATAATGTTTGTTTCGTGTTGTTAAATGCAATTTTGAGGAATATATACGAAACAATCCCTCTTTTGCACCTAGTCCACTTCTACAAAATTGTTTCTGTGTGATTTCGATTTGGAAGAATTTAATTATCCCTGCTGACAACTCATCGGGATCTGTAGTCGAGACTTCAATCGTTTAATTGTATGTTCCATTTCTTGTCTTGTTAAAATTCAGTTAACGCTGTTTTAATATGCGTCCAATTGTCGTAGATATCAAGTACTGTAGTCTGTGTAGCTTTCGGATTCTCAATTTCATTTTTTGTTTGTTTATACTTTTTTGGATGCTACGTTTTTTAGTTTCACTTTCATTTTTGCAAATAGAAGAGTGTGATTTGATGCAATTTGCTCCAGGGTTTGTTAAACGTCATTATTTTATTTTTATAAAAAGTTTATATTATATTATATTACTGTATATTGCAAGATTATTGCACGCGTCTCCATATTTCGAGTCACTCTAAATATTATTTCGCAACCCGTGCAAAAACATCGTTGGGAGCGATAAGAAATATTCACTGCAAAAATTAAACTGCTTTTCAAACATTCACCAAAAAACTACTCCGCTATATGAAGATTGCGAAATTGCATTATAAATAACAAAATCTATCATGAAATGCCAATTAATATCTATCTGTTACTAAAACAAATGATTTGCCATTATTTTTTAAATTGATTATCTGTTTGTTTCAGGGCCTAATTTTCGTAGTAGACAGTAACGACAGGGAACGTATAACTGAGGCTAAAGATGAATTAATGCGCATGTTGGCCGAAGATGAACTTAGAGATGCCGTACTTCTCATTTTCGCCAACAAACAAGATTTGCCCAATGCAATGAACGCTGCAGAAATCACCGACAAACTCGGTCTCCATTCACTACGTAACCGCAACTGGTACATTCAAGCTACCTGTGCAACTAGCGGAGATGGTCTCTATGAAGGTCTGGACTGGTTGTCCAATCAATTAAAGAACGCCAATCGCTAGAACATAGAAAAAGAGAGGAGTGCGCAAAAAAGTGTGCGAGTGCAGATGGTTTTTTTCTTGTACTCTTGTCGTGTCTACTACCTCGCGCGCGCGCGAAACGTTTCGTATACCATATGTTGCAATTTTTGTGTCCGATGGGGAAATTCGTCATGTTTCACTTTGGGGGTTATAAAATTGGCTGTTAGCGACAAGTGGTGTATGAGGTGAATGCGAAAATAGTTTTAGGCAATATATCATATGAATCTCAGCTTTCTTTAGGTTGAGAGTTGTTTTTGTAGCAAAAGAACCTTAAACATGCTTAATTGGCGATTTATTATTTTTTAACTGCATGAAAATCCTAGTTTTAATGTTTTTATATAAAACTTAGATTGTACCAACTTTTAACATTCCACAAATTTCTCATAAAATTGTGATATATTTTCTAATACCCCTTTCTTATATCAATGATCTTATTTTTGCAGGCTAAAATATTTTCTTATAAAATAATTTTTTATTGGTCCATAAAAATTTAATTTTGGGAATTCAATTAGAGTTTAACTGACTAAAAATGTTAAAAGGTTCTAGTCACATTATTTAGTCTAGACGTGCACTTTATAGCACTTGTCGCAAAAAAGCATCTAACCCCCAAACACGTATGGTGACGTCCTATTTGCAGAAAATGCACTATAATATACGATAGTAATTATTTATTGTCCTCTTTCAGGTGAAAACAGGCTTTTTGTAACATATATTTTTTATTGTTTGTAATAGGTTAAAATGTACAGTAGACACTTATATTTAAAATAAATATTATTTTTTATCTATCAATCCTTATTGTAACATATGGTAAGGCTGTTCGTATTTAAAAAATAAAACAAGAACATGTTTTTGAAAAGTTTTGGGCACGGCTCAAGTATTTTATTGTTTAAATTTAAGATGAAGTACGAATGGGCGCGCCCGAATCCGACAAGATTTTGTATAGCCCCGTATTCGTTGTCAAACCAACGGGTCTTGCTCTGGTAGTTAATTTCGGCGTTAGAGTTCAAGATGGAAGTAGATTTTTTTATACTTATAGTAAATATATTATGGGATATTTAAAGACTGGCCGATTGACTGACCAGACTTATGTCCCGCAGATCTTAACCGACGATGAGTATTCGAGGTTTGTTTCTGGTCAGATTCGGGCACGTCGTACTGTACATAAAATACTTTTGTTTACTTCTCAAATTTGTAACTCAGTTGTGGATACTTTGAGGCGTAATTTTATTTTGACAAACTGTGGATTTAAGGTTACATTATAAGTGATTTATTTAAAGAAATATGTTTTTGATTTATCGTGGACATTCCCTGTTTGTCAGCTGTATTATCAAATAAATTTATACTATTACTTCTAGTTTTCTAAATTACATTTATCGTCACATTTCGAGAAAACCCTTATTAGATAATTAAAATATCTAGGATTCACATACTTTTGGTAATCATAAATATATGAGGCGTTCAGAACCATTGTGGATCCATGTCCATAATACATTCAGATATTTAGAGTTAAAGTTAACAAGCTCTCCACTATTCATAATACACCAACGAACCGAATCTAAGTGAAAACCTCTTATGTAATATGTAGTTTAAATAATTAAACTATGTGTAATATTAAATAAATAACCTTTTTGAAAATAATTGGAGACTCTTGAAAAAAAAAATTAGACTTGATCAATTATTACTCTGAAATATTTGGTGGAAAAAAATGGATTAAAAAGAGAAGTATGAAAAACTGGAATTTTAGTTACAAAAAATAATAACAAATAAAAACTTGTTACAACAATGTTCAATAATACTCTCAAAACTTTAAGTGGCCAGTGAAACATAGACCAGTTCATGATAGTCTATGTCGTCTTCACCTTGTAGCTGGATTCGTGAACGGGTTCCTGTGTAGATGCAGAGATTTTTAAAATGATAGATGTGTGTAACTGGTGGCAGATATGGTAGGAAAGACAGCATGTCCTTTTTCTTTGCTTCTGTCACCAGTCTAGGTGTGAAGTATGGATAACTTTGATTACCAATGAATTTTGAGACATTTTTTTGCCATTGCGACAGTAAAGAACTGAAAATCTTCATTCAGCGTAGATTTGTACTTCAAAACCCAAAGATCTTCTCTCTTGTACCTCATCCATTTAAGTTCTAACCACTTCACAGGTGCTCCATCACTATCTTCTTTTATATTTACAAACACATCTATGTTCTTTGTCTACACAATGTTGCTACTTTTTATGTTAATTACTTTAAAAGGCACTGTCAATTTTGAAGTTTTTATTACATCAATCCAGTCGTCTGGCACAAAGATGTGAGAAGATTTTCTGGCAGCCTTTACAATAACCCCAAAATATCGGTCGTTTGGCAAAAAGTAGTGGCAAGATTTAGTAACGTGGCAGCCACTTCAAAATTTATGTTTTGTCCTGTACCATTGATTATAAACCACCACCTAGATAGCTCATCTCGGGGTAACCGAAAGACGTATCAAAAACTAGATGACGTTACTCGAAAACCGTATCGAGATTCTTATTCTCTCTCTGACTTGCGAGGAGATAGGAGTGGTGTCAGGGCCGAACTTACCCCATAAGAGTATTATCTGTGTCAAGTGTTATGACAAGTTATAACGAAATTTTATAAAAAAAAAAGACTCACATTTGAGATAAAATGGCCTCTGTAACGCATAAATGTGTTTACGCGGGATGTTTTTAATGAAACGATGGAACAAATAATAATATATCTTTCTTTAAATTTCCCCTGAAAGACGTAGAGCGCACAAAAATTTGCAAAAAAACTGCGGGAATATTGATATTATATTGATGGATATCAGTGACCTAAAACAGAGGGTAATTTGGCAGTGGAACATATTTACCAAAGTGGCCAAAGAAAGTTATTAAGGAAAAATGCTCTTCCTCTAAAATTCACACAGTTAGCAACTGATTTAGGTGAGTACTCAACTTTAGAAATATTTTTATATTTGCGTAATGCGCTTTGTCAATGAGAATAATACTATTAAAATATATGTTATATAAAATCAGTTGATATTGAGTGATCTATATATATTTTTATAAAATCAAATCAAGAGATTTTTTTCAACATGAATGCGTTGTTAGTATCACACTAGAAATGATGAAGATGATTGTTTTGCTTTAATTAAAATTACACATGCATTTCAATGATTACCTATTTTAGGTGACATCCCACCAGTATGCTCTACATACGTTTGTTGCGGTACGAAACGTAAAAGATCTACAAGTGGCGATTGTATGGTAAGGTCAACTCCATCGCCTAAGAGATCAAGTAGTAGCCTCAGTAATATTTCCAGTTTTGAAATTAATTTGCCTACAAAACTTGAAACTGAATTGACGGAGAATGATAGTTAATGACCAATGGGATCCTTAACAAGAAATAAAATGCCGTACCGAATAGGCAAGACAAACTTTTATTAAATTTAAACCGCTACTATGTAACCCCAATCTTTCCGTCAATCTCTGCCACAGGATGGTGAAATGGAGATTAAGACATGGGCGTTAAAAATATCCTCCATTAACAAGTTAGAGGCCTTCGAAATGTGGACCTTGCGAAGAAAATTCCCCATACTATGGACAGATAGAGCTAGAAACGGGGAAGTCTTAAGAAGAGCAACTACTGAGAGAGAATTATTCCAGTTGATCAAGATACGAGAAATTGGATATATGGGCCATATCCTGATAGGAAAAACATACGCAATACCTCAACCAATTATACAAGGAAAGATTGAGGGCAATAGAGGAGTAGGTCGCAAAAAAATGTAGCTACAAATTTTAAAGAGCTGGACAGGCCTAAATAACATTGGCGAGCTTTTGCATGCCTCAAAATATAGACGTCTGGCCTTAAGATAATTCGCCAAAGCACACTTACTGTACTATAAACTTTAAGAGGCCCAAATAATGATTTTTTAGAATAAACAGTTTAATAAAGTATATATTGCATATATTTGTAATATCTTAATTAACGATATATTGTTAAGTTTTAGGGTCATACTCCTTGAAAAACTTTTCAGTCACATATTCAGCGATAGCTAAGCAAGACGTAGCAGCTGGACTAGGCAGAAAAAGACAATTTATTATCCGTTTCTGTATGTCTTTGCCTTCAAAAAATTCAAAAACAAAATCATCCTGAAATGTACCGTCAGGATTTATTAACTGGGTCTGTACAGCTATTGGTCCGTTACTGACGTCTTCCCTGTTGAAATCTGCCAGTTTTTGAAGTTTCTTTATATACGTTTCCGGACATAAATGTCTTTGTACTTGAGATATACATTTTGAAATGTATCTTCTAGTCATATTTAGGAAGTTGGGAGAAGTCAAAGTATTTTTTAAGTACCTTAGATTTATATCTTCCTCATTATATCCTTCTATAGTATATGCAGGAACCGCTGTAGGTCCTAAAAAGACAATAAACAATATTATCTAGTAATATTTAAAACTACACACTACTGATCTACTATAAGCACAAACATTAGATCAAAGAATATAGACGCTAAGCGTCTATATTCTTTGATTAGATCATGCCTCATAAGATAGATTCAAAGATTCCGGTAAACGCGAGAGAAAGGAAAACGAATTTATGTAACGGGAATAGGTATTTTTTGTGTAAGTAGTTTGGCTTCAGACTATTAGCCACAGATTGTAGCGATCTGTAGCTAAAACTGGTCACAGACGATGCAATTTGTTGTACTACCGATCGTACGCAAGTTGTACGATAAATCTTTAACACAGACCGTAGGACTTATTCACATATAAATTTACTTAACGAACTACGCACCAATATATTTCAAGAATGGACGAAGATTCATTCAAACATTTATTAGAGTTAGTAAGGTCAGCAAGTACGAAACAAAATACAGTCATAAGAGATACAATTATTATTGAAGAAAGATTAACTGTTACGTTAAGATCTTTGTCAATTGGAAATTCATATTATGAAAACCTTAAATTTGACATAATATATCTCCTCAATCCATAGGTCAAATAGTTCGTGAAACCTGCCGGACGATTTAAGAAGCTCTGAAGAAAGAACATTTGAAGGTAAGTAATGAAAATATTCGGGAACATAATATTTATTTTTACACAATACAACATTAAAATATTTCGTCAAATCGAAATGTTTACTTTTTTGGTAAAAGTCAAATTTGTACAAAAAAATAAAATAAAATATGACACATTAATTAAATTTTCATTTGGTAAGTTGGGTTTTAGCAATAAAGCAGCTGATGAGGACCAAATCATTGATTGACACAATTATATAACTTACCAATTGATTGACACAATTATATAACTTATGCCTTTCAAAAGATGTTACACCATCTCAGTGGAATAAAGCTGTTATAGTAGTCATGCACAAAAAGGGAGATATAACAGAGCTAAAGAACTAGAGACCTATTAGCTTGTTATCTCACGTTTATAAGTTGTTTATGAAGATAATAACGAATAGGTTGACATCAAAACTAGACTTCTATCAACCTTGCGAGCAATCAGGATTTAGAGCTGGATACGGAACAAATGATCATTTGCAAACCATTAAGTCGTTAATTGAAAAAACCATTGAATATAATAGACCCGTGATACTTGTCTTTGTCGACTTTGAAAAAGCATTTGATACGGTCAATCAAAGTGAAATGCTCCAAGCTCTAACACAATGTAGAATAGATCACCGATACATATCTCTCATCAGATACATATATCAGCATGCTACAGCCTGTGTAATACTTAATGAAGATACCGGGAGTAGCAGACGTTATAGAAAGGATAACAACACTAAAGTGGAACTGGGCAGGTCATGTAGCAAAATCAGTTGATGACCGGTGGACAAAAAGAATTTTGGAATGGAGACCCCGAATACAAGCTAACAGAAATAGAGGTCTAACCACAACGAGATGGACAGGTGACATAAAAAGAGTGACTACAAATTGGATTCAGATGGCGCAAAATCGGACTAAGTGAAAAAGCATGCGAAGAGGCCTATGTTCAGCAGTGGACGTTAGAGGCTAGTTGATGATGATGATGAAGTTGGGTTTGTATATATTAATATAATTTATGATGTTTTTTGGCTCTATATTATTTTCCACTGTGCTAAAATCGTTTATCCAACCGAGATAGATGACAGATTTTTAAGCATGACATTCTGATCGTACGGGAGGTTGAACTACAACTCCAGACGATTATCGTTTAAACAGTCGTATCAACTTGAGTTGTACAATAAGTTTGACGATAGATCGTATTGTCTGTGGTCGTTTAATGGATCGTATTGTAGTCTACTAACCAAGTTGACAGTAAAGTAGAGTAAAAAAGTATATATACGGTTATAGGCTGATTTGTAACTAATAAAGCTACTAAAGTTTTGACTGGACCAGACATATTGAGATTGTACAATCCCTATTATGAGTTATTACGCTGACAAAAGGAATTCTGTAATATGTAAATTTTTTATTTGAAATTAATGTGGTCGGCTACTAAGGCCACTTACACAAGGAAGATTATAAAACAAAAAATTTTACTTATAGTTTATTCGTCTTCCGGGTTTGGACCGTGTCATTTGTGAGTGACCCAAAAGTGGGTTCATCTAGACGTTTCGCTACAATTGTATGTAGCTTCTTCAGGAGAACAAAGAAAAAGAAATCAAAAGACAGGAAGATGGGTAGTTAGCAACGGTAACTCAGTTACTCAACGCAACCAGAGGCGAATACTAACTACCAAGATGGGCACTTGGTCACAGTAACTCAACTACTTAACGCAGCCAGAGGTGAAAACCAAATGCCAGGACAGGGATTCACGTCCAACAGCTAAGAACACTAACGCGTCGAGAGGCGGGGAGTGAATCCCCGCTCCGGGGATTCGGGGGCGGGGAGGATTCACTCCCCGCCTCTCGACGCGTTAGTGTTCTTAGCTGTTGGACGTGAATCCCTGTCCTGGCATTTGGTTTTCACCTCTGGCTGCGTTAAGTAGTTGAGTTACTGTGATCAAATGCCCATCTTGGTAGTTAGTATTCGCCTCTGGTTGCGTTGAGTAACTGAGTTACCGTTGCTAACTACCCATCTTCCTGTCTTTTGATTTCTTTCTTTTTCTTTGTTCTCCTGAAGAAGCTACATACAATTGTAGCGAAACGTCGAGATGAACCCACTTTTGGGTCACTCACAAATGAAACGGTCCAAACCCGGAAGACGAATAAACTATAATTCTGACTCTGGCCGTAGAAGCCTACGATTTCAAAAAATTTTACAATAAATATTATGTTACAAAATGTTATCGTACAACGAAATTATATTTTATAATACAACTGAATGTCTTTTAGATATGTTAGAGCGGAATATATTTGGTCAGCTTTACGTAATATATCTTGTATATTAGGCTTGAGATAATAAAAGTTGCCTTCTGGCAGAATATTGATGGCATTCGGTGAGTATGTGATTGGCAGCTTTGACAAGTAGCTCGGTTGCTGAATGACATCAGGTCTGATGAGATCTGTAAATCTTAAGAAGGTAATTTTCATCTACACCTCAATGATAGTGCGAAAGAGTTTTGATAATATTTAGTCTTTTGTACGATTCACCCTTTATTTCCAATATATGTTGCTTCCAGGTAAGTTGAAAATCAAACAATAAACAGTACTTTACAGTCTCTCACAACGGGAAGATAAGCTTTGTCAATCATTATACTATTGCTAGATTAAAAAGAGTTGGGATTAATACTGACCCTTGTGGTACCCCATCGATTTGAGTGTGGACTGATGAAAAAATACGATTGACAGACATTCTAAACGATCGTGATGATAAGCAATTTTGTATAAAATTGAATGTATTGCCCTTAATATTATATAGGGCTAGTTTGTTCAGTATAGAGTGCCTGCTTATAGCAGCAAATGCGCCTTCAATGTCAAATACACCAATGACGATTTTTTGGCTTTTGTTGAAATCATCGGAAATATGACTGGAGAAGATTAGATTGTCTTGAATTGAGCGACTTCGTCGAAATCCTATTCGTGGGGGATTGCTTATACCTGCCGGTATAAGCAATCCCCCACTTACTGACCAACGGCTTCGGACGGATGAGTTGGTAAGTGGTAGGGCACTCTTTTGTCCTTGGGCTGAGAAATCGACCCTAAAGGCGGATGAGCCAAGTATACGGTCAACGGCATAAGGATGCAGAAGGCAAGGGGAAACCACTGCATTAAAGGTTCAAAAGAACATCCTTAGTAAGTCAAGATGGCTAGTAAAGACCTACTCAAAAATGTTACTGATCATGGAATACGGATACCAAGATCCGGCAGGAGAGGGCAATCGCAAGACTATGGGGCCTCTCCGGTCGTCAACATGCAAAATCCCTGTAAAAACATGAACAAGTCGAACAAAACTAGACTAGGTATTAGAGTTGGGACATGGAATGTTAGAAGTCTGTTTATGGCTGGAAAACTAGACAATGCCATCTTAGAAATGGAACGTTTGAATGTAAATGTATTAGGAATTAGCGATGTGAGATGGCAAGGAACAGGTAAATGTATAACAAACAACGGAATGCTATACTACTCAGGAAACGATGACCCATCACATTTGTATGGCGTAGGAATTCTCGTTGATTACAAAATGAATAGAACAGTAATAAGCTTTACTCCAATATCAGACAGAGTCGCGATTCTGAAACTTAATTCAAAGACTGTTCCAATAAACATAGTACAGGTGTATGCTCCAACAGCCGACAAAGCTGAGGAGGAAATTGAAATATTCTATAATCAACTCAATGCCGCTCTAAAATTGACAAAAAAATGTGAGATAACAATCATCCTAGGGGATTTTAACACCAAAATTGGTAAAGGAGCAGTGGCACCATGGATTGGTGAGTTTGGATTGGGCGTTAGAAATGAACGTGGAGATAGACTCTTAGAATTTTGCCAAAATAAAGATCTGGTTATAGTAAATACCTTATTTGATCTACCTAAACGTAGACTATACACGTGGAAATCACCAGCAGACCGAGAATCACACATCGTCAGAAACCAAATAGACTTTGTCTTGATCAGAAATAGGTTTAAAAATTCAATAAAATCAGCAAAAACTTATCCAGGTGCCGATATATACTCGGATCACGTCCCTATTATTGTCGAAATGGAAGCAAAATTAAAAAAGTTAAAAAACAAAAAGATTAGAAAAGAATTCGATGTGACAAGATTAAAAGATACTCAGATAGAACAAAGAGTTAGACAGAAAATCAATGATAATCTTAAACCCATCAAGTCAAAAAACACCAACTCTAAAGACGTAAATGAAAATTGGAGAGAGGTTCAACAAGCTTTAAAAGAAGCGGGAGAAGAAATACGTGGACCAATACCAAAGAAAAGACATATGTGGATGACAGACGAAATACTAACTCTCATGAATGAAAGAAGAAAATATAAATACATAAACACTAGCAAATACAAATCCCTAAACAGCAGGATTAGAAAAGACATAATAACAGCAAAAGAAAGATGGCTAACTGAACAGTGTCACGAAATAGAAGAATATGAAAAGAAATATGATAGTTTCAATATTCATCGGAAAGTGAAGGAAATGACGTCGGGAAAACAAAATAATATACATGTTATAAAAGACTCGAATGGTAACATTCTCACAGATACAAAACAACAACTAAACAGATGGACAGAATACATAAAAGAACTATTCGGGGATGACAGACAACAAATCATAGATGAGGACTCTGGTGAATCGGGACCAAAAATTTTAAAACAGGAAGTTCAATACGCATTAAAACAGACAAAAGGGAAAAAGGCCACAGGTCCGGATGAAATCCCGATTGAGTTTCTTAAACTGATCGATGATGAAATGATAGACATTCTAGTAGAACTTTATGATCATATTTATCAAACAGGTATTTTACCAAAGGAGTGGTTAGTATCCACATTCGTAATTATTCCCAAAAAGCAAAATGCAAAAGAATGCTCAGAACACCGTACAATTGCATTAATGAGCCATGTTTTGAAAGTATTTCTACGAATAGTCCACAACAGAATTTACAGAAAGCTGGATGATGAAATTAGTGATAGTCAGTTAGGCTTTAGAAACGGCACGGGAACCAGGGAAGCATTGTTCGGTATAAATGTGCTCATGCAAAGAAATCTGGATATGAACCAAGACATGTATACATGTTTTATTGATTTTGAAAAAGCATTTGACAAGGTACAGCACAATAAACTAATTAATATTTTAAAAATGAAAAACATCGATAGCCGCGACATCAGAGTAATCTCGAACCTCTACTGGAACCAGAAAGTCAAAATAAGAATTGAAAATCAAATGTCGGAAGAAATAGAAATTCTTCGGGGTGTGAGACAGGGCTGTGTATTGTCACCACTGCTGTTTAATATATATAGCGAAGCCATTTTCCAAGAAGCTTTAGGAGAGTGTAACGATGGAATGATAATAAATGGTGAAATTATTAATAATATAAGATATGCCGATGATACTGTCATATTCACTTCAACTCTGCAAAGTCTAACAAACATACTGGAACGGCTGAATGAAAAGTGTACCATATATGGTATTAAAATGAACTTAAAGAAAACAAAATTCATGGTCATTACAAAACATCCAAAAGACAACGAGACACTCCATATTAATAATATCCAGATAGAAAGGGTAGATAAATACAAATATCTAGGAACATTGGTTAGTCAAAACGCAGAACAAACGCAAGAGATTAAAAGCCGTATAGAAATAGCAAGGGCAAAATTTGTAAAAATGAAACATCTATTGTGTAGTAGAGACCTAAGAATGGATCTAAGGATAAGGTTATTGCGCTGCTACATTTTTACAACTTTGCTCTACGGATCTGAGGCATGGACATTGAAACAACTGGAGATTAAGAAATTGGAAGCTTTTGAGCGTTGGTGTTATCGAAGGATGCTACAAATAGCATGGGTAGACAAAATTACCAATATTGAAATCCTTGATAGGATTAATAAGAGGGAAGAAATTGTACAGACAATTAAGAGGCGGAAACTTGAATATTTCGGTCATATATTAAGAGGTCCTCGTTATGGGCTACTACGTTTGATTATAGAGGGCAAAATAAAAGGTAAAAGAGATGTAGGAAGAAGACGAACCTCCTGGCTACGAAATCTAAGGGAATGGTTTAGTCTGAGCTCTAGCCAACTATTTAGAGCTGCTGTAAGTAAAATAAGAATTGCCATGTTGATATCCAACCTTCGTTAGAAGATGGAACCTTAAGAAGAAGAAGTCGAAATCCTAACTGTTTTCAACAGTTTTTTCTGTTACCTACCATTTTTTTCTAAAATTTTGCACAAGGTTCAAGTGAGTGATATTGGTCTATAAGCGCTGGGCGACGAGCGAGCTATGTTAGGCTTTTTAATGGGTATTAGAATTGAGGTTCGCCACTAGTTAGGAAATTTGTTGGATGACCAGATTAAATTGTTGAACATTTCAAGAAGTTTAAGATGACCTAAACTGGATAGTTTTTTTTATAAAGATATAGGGAGTATCGTCAGGGCCAGAAGCAGTATTCTTAAGAGTTTTAATGAGAGAAGTGAGTTTTAAGTATGAGAATGGCGAATTGATTCAAGTAAAGGAGAATTTATTTTGCTTTTAAATTTTGTAGCGAAGTGTTTTGCCAGCGTTTATGTGCCTTATCTTAGAATGTACAGGAACCAGAACCAGTCTTAATTTCAAGACAAGATCGCCGGAAGAAGAAGATCCTGGCTCCGAAATCTGCGAGAGTCGTATCAAGAGACATCCGCTAATCTGTTTCGAGTTATCGTAAACAAAGTTATTATTCATATCAATATAATCGCCAACGTTCGATAATCGAATAGGGTACTAAAAGAAGAAGACAGTCGTTATTTAGATTTTCTTTTTAGCAGCTTAGATCTTGGTAATGTAGATAGTGAGTATAATGCTCTATTCCCCGCAGCTATCCTTGCTGAGAACTCTTTTTTTATGTGGTTGATATCTGTGATTACCGCTTTGTTTTAATACTTCGAAGTTGTGGTCGTTAATATTTATGTTCTGTATAACTTCTTGAATTTTTGGTTATTAGCAAAGAAAGGAGAAAGATAGACGCCACTGAAATGTTGTGTTGGAGAAGAATGTTACGAATTCCGTGGACCGTTCACAGGCAAGACTTATTATACAAGGAAAGGCTGAAGACCTAAGATCACATGGAAGATCCCAAACAAGATGGATCGGCCAAATTACAGGAATATGACCTATGCATGAGTTAAAAGAAATGACCAGAGACCAGAGAGAGATCTTTAAAGGCGGACAATACACAACACCACGATGACCACTACACTCCCTCCGTAGGTCAGGACTAAAGGGAGAGATTTGATATTATATTTATATATTATTGAACTCCCCTAACCATAATATATCTATGAAAAGTTTCAATAGAGTTTAAAAAAAATATTAAAGATCTATAACCCTCTCGTTTTCGACATATTTCAATAATTGCATCTCGCTACTATGAGGAGCTATTGAAGATTTGATTGAGCAATCGTTACTTTAATGAAATGATATCTTAACTGCTTTTTTTCTATCTCCTCTATTTCTTGGTATATCTACCTTGTAAAATATACCAATTTACACTGTACGTACAGCAAGAAACAAAAAATAATATTTACCTAATAATGTGGTACAATCTAGTCGAGGTGACAAATGTACTCCTAAAAATGGTAAATCCAAATCAGGTGTTTCGTATATATTTACTTTTAAAGGTTTTCCTTTTAATAAGTGATAGTTGACTCTGAAAGAAACAAATATTCTGCTATTGTTGGATGTTTCAGGTGTTATCAATTCGTGCAGCCTTCCAGATTGTAATCCCGCACATACTATCAAATACTTCGTTTTAAGGAACGAATTTTCGTTGCATTTTAGTAAAACTGGGTAATTAGCATCTCCTGATAACTTGATGTGATTTACTTGATGATTTAATAAAATATCGCCATTATTAATTCGGAATTCTTGAGCTAAATAAAAAGAAAACAGCTGAATTATTACAAACACCATAAGTAAAAACAAGAAAACTAGCTGGATATATAAATTCATGATTAAAGTTCGGATTATAGGTAAAATAATCCAATCTTTGTCCAATTTGCTTATTCTAGTTGTTTTTTGCACATTTTGCCCTTTTTCGTAAATTTCGCCTATTTGTGCCTTTTTTTAATGTATGCTACTATAGTATAATTTCGAAATTGTAGACACTAAATTTTAGAAAATGGCGATGACCTTTCTGGGAATTCTTGGTTTTTCAGTGACATACAAAATTACAACTGCAAAGAAATATTAGCAATTTCAGAATTTGACGATATTTCCAAAGCCATTCGAGAAGAAAAAGTATTGAAACAATTTAAACAGCAACTTGCATATATCAGTGTCATGAGTAATACTCCTTTGGTTATTCGCTGTGTTGTCTTCCTCTTTTTTTATTTTTTAATATTTTTGCTTCCCTCACTCTTTTCACTGTGCTATCTTTCATGCGGAGTAAATGACCCCACCAACTCAGTTGTCTCTCTTCTATAAACTCCAATGTGGATTGTATTTTCAGATCATTCTTTATATACGTATTTCTTATTCCATCCATTTTGGTTAAACCTTTAACTCTTCCTAAAAACTTCATGTCTATAGCCTGTATCTTACTATTTTGCTGTTTTGTTAGTACACATGATTCGGTGCCAAAAGTCAGAACTGTTCTATTTGCTCCGTGCGTGACCATGATAGGGGTAAATTGAAACGATGCCAGCGTGCATAGCGGCGAAATATGACAAAATTGGAATATTGGACAAAATATTTTTACGCATAAATTTTATCAAAAACGTGTGCAAATACATGCTGCGTATTTAATTGTGCTAATAATAGCAAAAACAGTGAGTGTAGTTTTTATAGGTTCCCAAAGATTACTTATAAATTAGAGAAAAGAAAAAGATAAATTCGTGCTATTAATATAATTTCATTTTTATGCAATTGAATTGGAAAAATTTAAATAATTTACCTTGAATGATATTTCATAAGGCTTCAAGCTAACTGCAGATGACTGTAGCTTTTATATCATAACTTTTACTATTATTGTTTTTAATTATATGCTCTTTTGCGTGCAAAACTTGATTTGCCAGTACTAGATTTTTCCCTTTCTTTTCCGTTTGGAGTTGAAAAGATATATTATGATGAATTTTGAAAAATCCAGTTTTTAATACTACATTTATTTTGTACATAAACCGAAAAACTATCGTTAAAAAACTAATTTATTAATAATTGTCAATTTCGCATGTATTTAGCAATGTCAAACATATGTCATATGTTTAACCTGAAAATTGGGACTCCAAAATTGTCAGATAAAGGCGGTAGGTGTCGCGTTGTTCGGTGCGTCAGTCACGCACGGAGCGAATACAGTGCTTTGAAATCTTTCATTTTTGTATTTCGTCTTATTTCGTTTTCGTATATAAATTGTGTGTACATTTTATGAGACAGTTGTAGCATTTTCTCTACTTTGCTTTGATTTCTGCCTTTGTAAATCCTGTTTCTTCTATTATTACTCCTAAGAATGTAAAACAGGAAGTTCGAAAATTACTAAAACCTGAAGAACAGAAGATCAGCAGGTAAACATGGGATACCAAACGAATTATTGAAATATTATGAAGCAGCAATGACATAACAATTAACAACATTAATTAATAAAATTATAAAGCACAATAAAATACCGGATGGAGAACAAGGAGCGAACTAATTCTAGTATACAAAAAAGGAGAGAAAAATAGCCAGAAAACTACAAAGGTATAAACTTGTTAAATATTACGCTAAAACTTACAACTAAAATTTTACAAGTGCTAATAAATCAGAGGATAAGTTTAGCAGATGAACAACAGGGTTTTCGTAGTGGAAGATCGGGACATCTGCAATATTCTTTATAAAGCAAATTACTGAGAAATCACTAGAGTATAATAGACCAGCATTTCTATGCCTGATAGACCTAAAGAAAGCGTTTGACAGAGTAAGACTCAAAGATTTAATCAATCTTCTGTATAAGAGAGAAGTTCCCCTAAATATTATAAAAACTATCTAAAACATCTACCAAAATAACAAAATGGAAGTCAGAATAGATGGACAACTTACAAAACCTATAGAAATAGGCAGAGGAATAAGACAAGGGAATTCATTGAGTCCCATGCTTTTTAATTTGATCATGAATGAAATCATCAAAAGCGTTAAGAAAGGAAGAGGATACAGAATGGAAAATAAAGAAATAAAAATACTCTGTTACGCAGACGACGTAATATTGATATCCCAAGATGAAGATAGCCTACAAAGACTGGTCCACAGATTTAATATAAGAGCAAAATAATTTTTTATGACAATCTCATCTGAGAAAACTAAAAAAAATAGTAGTCAACAAAGAACCAACCAGATGTAAAATAGAAACTACTGGCATTAGTATTGAACAAATAATGGAAATAAAATACCTGGTAATTACAATATGCTATGGAGACCTGCTAAGTGAGAGATCAAGTACAAAAAGCACATAGATTGGCAGTATGCCTTAATAATACTATATGACGAAACAGACACGTCAAGAATTTATAAAGCCAGTGTAAGACCTATAATGGCATATACATCAGAAATAAGATCAACTCAGCCACAACGCAAAGGATACTGGAAACAGCAGGGATGAGAGTACTGAGAAGAATTATAGTAAATACTCTGAGAAATCGAAAGAGAAGTGAAGACATTAGAAGAAAATGTAACGTACAGTGTACAAATGAATGAACACAAAATAGAAAAAAAGAATGGAATAACCACATAAGCAGAATGGAGAAAAACCTTCCACAGAGGTATTAATCTGCCATTGAACAAGTAGAATTTAGAAGAACAAATCAGGACAACGATTCCGTACTCACCGACGAAATGTGTACAACAAAGTATAATTTTCAAAGTTTTAACGATGAAAGCACGGTATTTCTTTATCAGAGGCGCCTTGACAGCAAACTATCAAATGCGGAAGAATGCACCTTTTATGAAATCTATGAGAACGTTATCGAAAGTCTAAGAAATGCCACCAGAGAAGCAGTAGGAATAAAGGCAAAGGAGATCAACAAAAAATACTGGTGGAACGAGGAGATAGAGTTAGTAGTTCAGGAAAAGAAACAAAAATATTTAAAATGGTTGACAACAAAAAATGAACAAGACCTGGTAGATTATAAACAAACAAAAAGACAATTAAGAGCGGGCATTAATTTAGCTAAGAACGAGACGTGGGATAATAAATGTGAAGAAGTTAACAATTATATCGGAGGAAGGAAATGCTCGGAGGTATGGAAATTTATATCAAATGTTAAAAACCCAGCAAAGGACAGAGCAAATATCCAGATAATCAAACCGGAGCAGTGGATACAACACTACAAAGGTCTACTGCAAGAAACTAGACAGAAATACATGATAGAATCTCCAAAACATTGTGTAGTAAATGGAGAAGAAGTAAAGGTATCCGAAGAAACCGTAAAAAAGACAGTTTTGAACCTTAAGTTAGGGAAAGCTAGCGGACCAGAAGGGATTTTCTCCGAAATGTTAAGATGGGGAACGGAAAAACTCTTTAGAAATCTAACAATAATTATCAATAAATGCCTAAATGGACATCCTGTTCCAGAAGACTGGAAAACAGCTTATATATCATCGATCCATAAAAAAGGGAATAAACTGGACTGTAACAACTATCGAGGCATATCAATCACGAGTACACTGAGCAGACTATACAGTAGAATACTGCTAGATCTTGAACAAGACTATAAAGAGAAAGAAGAAGAAGATCAAAGCGGCTTTAGAGCAGGTAGATCGTGTACCGACAACGTATTTTGTCTAAAACAAGTCATGGAGAAGAGATCTGCTAGACATCTGGAAACCCATCTTACATTTGTGGACCTACAAAAAGCATATGATACAGTCCCAGTATCGAGACTGTGGAAGGTATTAGAACAAACGAACATCAATCACAACTATATAGCTGCACTTAAAGAACTGTATGAAAATTCACAATCAAGAATTAAAATAGGTAAAAAACTCATAGTGAATAAGGGACTACGTCAGGGATGTCCTATCTCTCCTACACTATTCAAAATATATGTAGCAGCGGCACTTAAGAAGAGGAAAAGGAAAATACACGGAATGGGTATAGAGATAGATGACAGATACCTGTTTACTCTTCAGTTTGCAGATGATCAAGTCATAGTGGCCAATGACAAAGACGACATTCAATATATAATTAGAAAGCTGATCGAAGAGTATGAGAAATGGGGCTTGATAGTTAACGTAAATAAAACGAAATATCTATGTGTAGGCTCTCAGAGCGAAAATTTGGAGTTGGACAACGGTCAAGAAATTCTGCAATGACAAGAATATGAACATTTAGGTATCACATTCGACAATACCGGAACAGATGTGAAAGAGATAGAAAAACGAATAGTTATTGCTAAAAAGATAGTAGGATGTCTGAATGGCATCTTGTGGAGCAAGGAGATAACAAAAATGAGAAAATTTAATATATACGAGACAATGGTTAAGCACAGCCTATTGTATGGAGCAGAAACATGGAGAATTCCAGACAGACAAAAAAAGAAGGTAGAGGCAGTCGAAATGGACGCGATAAGAATATCTATGTGAGTCTCACGAAGAGAAATAATGAGGAATGACCATATAAAACAACGAATGGGAATAGAAGGTACGATAATTCAGGATAACTACTATAATAGTTATAGATAAATACTAGATGGCCCAAAAAAATACTGAACTGGACCCCAATAGGGAATAGAAAGTGAGGAAGACCCAAACTAGAGTGGCAGCAAAACATAAAAAAGTCAATGAGCGAACGGAATCTATCAACGGAAGATTGATAGATTGACGTTCTAAACCGGCATATATATATATATATATATATATACTATATATATATATATATATATATATATATATATATAACGAATAC